AACACCCTAGAACAGCTGTGTATAAACCTGTGTGCTGAGGCCATGCAGCACTACTACAACACACACGTGTTCCGGAGCCCCGCCGATGCTCTGGAGGACGAGGGTGTACAGCCCGAGGTGGACGTGACCTACTTCAACAACACGCCCGTCATAGAGCTACTGTCTGCACAGGTCAGTGTTTTATGTCCCTTTTGACTCAATTTGGGTCATTTTTGGAGACTGGCTACTTCAACAACACGCTGACTGCGCAAGTCTTTTAAGTAGGAGAATAAATACCCAGTCAATGCACTTGGACACAATAGAGATCATTTAGGTGGACATCGCGACTTACTTCACCAACACACCCGTCATAGAGCTACTGTCTGCTCAGGTCAGGTCTTTTTTGTCGAAGTTTAACGTCCTTTTCGAAACAATATAGATAATTTTGGTTGACGTCACCTACTTCATCACCGACTTCTATAACACGCCCGCCATAGAGCTATTGTCAGCTCAGGTCAGTATTTTACAGCCTCAGCGACACAAATTAGGTCATTTTGGAGGCTGACCTACTTCAACAACACACCCGTCATAGAGCTGTCTGCCCAAGTCAGGCCTCTTTTATGTAGGAGTTTTACACCCATTCCGAACCAATCTAAGTCAGTTAGGAGGCGGGCCACTTCTACAACAGGTCTGCCATAGAACTCCTGTATGCGTAGGTCACCCCATGAAATTTATATAATAACAGTGGAAAGGTTGGGTGGGTGTTTCTTGTATTGCGCTCTTATTTTATCCTAATAAATGTAACTATAGATGTTTTACGCCTCCACTGACTCAACTTAGTTTATTAAATTTTAGGAGGCAGGCCTCCTTAACTTTGTCTGTCAGGGCCAACTCGTCCCAGCGAAAAGACAGAGATACTCGACATAAAGAATGTGTAGATAAAATCAAAGATCGACAAATGAGTTTAGTTTCGGTTCTGGAGAGGTTGAGAGTGTCTGCACCCCTTTGAAGTCAAGGAGGTCTAGAAATTGGGACGTGCCCGTCACGTAACGGGGTACTCTCAAATAAGACCAGTACCCTCTTACAAACTGTGCCAAGTGCGAAACTAAGCTTCAATTTGGAGGGAATTATTATTGGCAAAATGTGTATGTGAGGACGTGTGTTCCTTTTACTCCTCACTTCTTCCTCTTTCTTGTCCTTTAGTTTATTTCACTCCTCTCGTTCGTGTTTGTCTCATAATTTAACATCACCCACGAATGACGATGATTTCAGCAAGTTTAATTTGTTTGTTTTTTATCATAGGTGACGGGCCTTCTGAGTATCCTAGATGTCTTGTCTCAGCCTTGCACCTCCTCCCAGCAGGACTACATGGAGAAGATAAGAGCTCAGCACACTGCGAACAACTAGTAAGCGAAAACGATCATGATTAGGAAAATAGTATTAATATATATGTATCAATGCCGAAATGTGGTTTATCATTGCATATTATTTTTTTAATGTATTTTCTCAGCTCACCATACTATCCAATTCAAGAAAACAACATGTAATTTCTTAAAATACAGCTACTAAGAGAAGATTAGAATACTGAAAGTTTAATACTTGAAAGCTATCCTTTGATAAATAGAATAATATATTATAGAACATAAACAAAAGTTTAAATCATCAATATTAAATACAGACTTTTTTGCTGTTCATCGTGACCAAGGCAAGTCTGTGTTAACACTGCTTGATTTAACCCCCCCCCCCAAAAAAAAAAAAAATAAAAAAAAATAATAATAAAAAAATAAATAAATAAATAAATAAATAAATAAATAAATAAAATAAAATAAAATAAAATAAAATAAAATAAAATAAAATTTCAAAAAATATATAAAATAAATGAATAAATAAATACATTGAAAATAAAAATAAAAAATAAAAAATTAAGAAATACAATTTTTAAAACCCCCAAAAATTATCAGCAGGAACTCACTCTTCTCCTTTTGTTTTCTTTTCCCCCTTCTCTCAGTTTCTTTGAGCCTCTACCAAAGAACGACCGCCTGTTCGGAATTCGCCACTTCACCGGCCGAGTCGTCTACGACGCCTCCTGCTTCCTGCGGACCAATCAGGACCAGCTTCCAGATGACGTCATCCACGTCTTCGCCAAACAAAACTGCAATTTTGGTTTTGTTTCTCATCTGTTTGCGTCAGAAATCAAACCCCCATCAGGTGCGAATACTGTATGTGTAGATCTAGTGCTCAAAGATGATTCGAAACAATGCATTAAGATATTGAAAAGTAAATATTTCCCAAACATCATCATCATCCTGTGCCAGATCTGCGACAGACATCGGCGATCATGGTTTTTCCATTCCTTCCTTTGCTCGGATGCTCTAAAAAAAGCTACGTTTCCCTGACCTTTCCCTGTTACCCATTCGTTCCGGTTCCCTAAGTATTTTGTTCTGGGCCTACCCCTGCCTTGCTTGCCCTCAATTTTGCCAGTGAGAGCTAGATGTTCACGACTCCCAAACATAGTCTCTTCTAATTTTTCTCCAGCGTAGGAAGGACATTATAGTAGGCTATCTACAAATTCATGTATTATCTACATTACATTTTTATGATTGGGTATATGAATACATAATGGTTCATATTATATTGTACCTGACAGCCAACGTAAATTATCTGCATTTTATTGTTTGGTCATCTTACAGACGGGTTACTTGGCCCAAGGGGTCAGCGGTTCCAGACCTTGCCGAACTACCAACAGGACATGGAGAGGTAGTAGGCCAATACAATACTGTCACGGTTTAGTTCAGTGTACCGGTGATTCTGTACGAGGCATGGTACTAGCTTATTGTGCGTGTTGGGAATAAAAGGAGGGGTGGGTGCGATATACCCCTTATCATGACAAATACATACTTTGCAACCTGATCCAACCCCACCATCCTGCCCCACATCAAGACCTCCCCCTCGACTATCCCATTTACAGAGAGAGAGAGAGAGAGAGAGAGAGAGAGAGAGAGAGAAAGAGAGAGAGAGAGAAAGAGAGAGAGACAGACAGACAGACAGACAGACAGACAGACAGACAGACAGACAGACAGACAGAAGGAGGGACAGACAGACACACACACACGCACACAGACAGAAACAGACAGAGAGAGACAGAAACAGAGACTTACAGAAAGACAGACACAGACACAGAAAGGGAGCTGTTGAAGGGGGAGGGGTGGAACCTACACTTGCCTCGACTCTATTATAATGAAGCAATCTCCACACCCCCTCCCCCTCCCCCGGGCACCCCTTCCCAATATTATATTTGAATGTCACAAAGTCTATCGGGGGATTAAAGAAATCAAACTTTTTAATCATAATGATCCTTATTAATTTTGTCTGATATGGTTTTTTTCCCCATCATAAACTCCCCAGCTCAGAGCCTGTGCCCAGCACACTGTCCCACGACTTCCAGTCCCGCCTGGAGGGTATCCTCAAGTCTGTGACTAGCGCAAAGCCTCACTTCGTCAGATGTATCAAGGTATGTGTAGGAACTACAGTAGTACGTGTGTATTAAGCCTACGTATTTGTGTAGTAATCACAATTAGTAGTACATGTATTAGTCACTTAATTGCCTTAAAAAAAACTTTTTCCCTGGTCTATTACCTCTAGTCTATTGTCTGTTTGTTAAGGGTTAGGTACACGGTAAGTGAGGTATGGCTTTAAAGCAATCCAGTCTATTTTATTGTCTGTTTATTAAAGGCTAGATATAGCTTAAAAAACAACAACAAAACAAACAAAACAAAACAAAAACCAAAAACTTTTCAGTCTATTTTGTTGTCCGTTTGTTAAAGGTTGTATATTTTAAAAGAATTTAACGGTCTGTTTTATGGCCTGTTTATAAAAGGTCTGATATACGCAGTACCTTAAAAAAAACCACACAACTAGATCTACTTTTTTCATCGTCTGTCTTTCCTTGCCGTCGTTCCCACAGAGCAACGACCACGCCCAGCCTGGGATGTACGAGTGTGAGACTGTGTCCCGACAGGTCCGCTCACTGCAGATTACAGAGGCCGTGCAGCTCATGGCCGGGGGTGAGTACTGGATGAACATTAGTATTGTTGCTTGTTGTTGTTGTTATTGTTGTTGTTGTTGTTGTTGTTGTTATTCTTGACGTTAGATTTAGTGGTTGTGGTGGTGATTTTCCGCGACACCCAAAAGGGTATAAGCGGAGGAAAAAAGTAAAATGGTGATTTTCTTTCTTTCTTTCTTTCTTTAAAAATATTTTATATTTTGTTTATTTATTTAATGTAATTTAATTAATTAATTTATTTAAATTTATGTTATTGTATTTAAACAAGGGTATAAGCGGAGGAAAAAAGTAAAATGGTGATTTTCTTTCTTTCTTTCTTTCTTTAAAAATATTTTATATTTTGTTTATTTATTTAATGTAATTTAATTAATTAATTTATTTAAATTTATGTTATTGTATTTAAACATTTTTTTAAAAGGGGGGGGGGGTTGTTATTTTGCTATTGTTGTTCGCTTTGTGGAGATTGATATCGTGAATTCGGAATTATGGACTGAATGGATATGATATGATGATGATGATGATGATGATGATGATGATGATGATGATGATGATGATGATGATGATGATGATGAGGTTGATGATGATGATGATGATGATGATGATGATGATGATGATGATGATGATGATGATGATGATGATGATGATGATGATGCTGATGATGATGATGATGATGAGAGATGTTGATGATGA